CCCCGCTTTTAACATTTTTTTTTTTTTTAAGGTTTAAAACTTTTAAAGTTCAACTTTTCAGTGATAGTACTCTTTGTAAAGATAATGTTAAAAATGTTTTTAGCGCGGTCTTTCAGGTTCTCGTATTACGACGTCCTATTAGGCATGGATTCTTTAAGATGTAGATTTCGATGCAAACTTTTTGTTTTTATATGCATTATAGAGATTATGTGTTCAGTGAAAACAAGATATTAGTGATTAGTTGTTTTCATGGACATGAGTTTATGAAAACGTGTGAAATATTTAGCGAAAAAGAGACTTTTAAGATTATGTGTTCAGCGAAATTAAGGTACTGATTATCTATTTATAAAGAATACGGCAAATTAAAGAAAAATGCTATGCTTCTCCCCTTTCTTCTGGAGAAATGAAGTATTTTAAATATGCTTTAAAATGCAATGATTATTCATTAATCTTTAACCATCTTGCCAATTTCAGATGTTCCCAAATCTCCATCTAGATTACTAAAAAAAATTATGCCATAAATTAGGCAATTTTTTGACCGACAAGAACATAATGACCTCATTAAAAATGAGCCACATTTATCATATTTCAAAAAATCCTTAATTAATCTTAAACCAGCGTATAGCAAAGAGAAAAACTTTGCATACATATTTTTACCTTCCAATCGCCATAGTTTGGATTACTAAATGTGTGAATATTCGGTCTATACTAAGATGACCTGGTTTATATTATTATCAGTAAGATGAATAATTTAAGCGTTGCAAGTGGAGGAAATAACTAGTAGATAATGAAGGAATGGATACATAACCCATCCGTCTATTTTTGTCCATTTTATCCAAATGGGACACTCAGAAGGTCAGCATATCCCTTAATACCTCGCCGCAAAATGTCGGAGAATCGTTCGAGAATATTATGTATGCACTTTCTGTTGTGAAGGGGAAAAGTTTGTGAAAAAAAGTAATTAAAAACTGAAATTTGAAAACTTCACATTGCAACCTAATACTTTAATCGCAGTTTTCCATAAAAGTTTCATAAAGGTCAAATATTTAAAACTCGAAAAAGTTTTCAATCTTATATGGATATAGAAGGTTTAATTTAACTCCTGACGCGATGTTAAAGGTAACAGGTAAGCAGTTCCGATAAAGTTATTTAGTCTCCCATTAATTAAAAACATAGAATAATAAAATTCATACATATGCGTTTATTTAATAGAGAAAAGATTAAATTATTTAAGAGGTAGCTGTATATTTATTTCATTGGGTCAGTTGCGCCTGAGACTTGCAACAAATATTTCCTTGAAGTAGCAGTATTTTCTGTTTTGTCCGGATACGAAATCTGTGAACTTAAAACAGTGAACACATGACCAAGTTTCTATGAGGTGTTTAAAGTTTAATCTTATTTTAATAAGAGAAACCTTTTAATTTAATGCCTTTTATTTACAATAAAAATTGTTTGTTTTTTCTACGCATTTTGGTAATAACTGTTTCGCAAAAAAAAAAAAAAAAAAAAAAAAAAAAAAAAAAAAAAAAACGCAAGCATTGATACTTATGAAATTACTAGTTTTGAATTTTCTAGTACCCCTACAAAGAGAATTATTTAAATGTAGTTAGCCACTACAGAAAGGGCTGTGTATTCAACAGAGATTGTTAGAATGTAATTTAACGACTTTATTAAAATAATGTTGCATGTTCTACGTAATGTTCATAACTTGGGCAAAACTATGGGAAGTATGCATGTTCATAATCACTGTATCACTCACTGTGTTGTATAATATTACTTGTTCTGTATAATGTTGCATGCTCTGTCGTGATTTGTCTCTAATAACAGAATCCTTATTAGAAAGTTTCCTTAATATTATCCGTGACCCGCCCCCCCCAAGAGAAAGTTGAAGATTGCACACGTTTTGTCATAGACCTACTCATTGTTTCTAATATGTCTCTGAGTGTCAAGAGATTTGCATCATTTATTTTTTTCGTCTACTAATTGGAACTAAATGGCCGTTTATTTTCGCTGAGTATTCCAGTTATTACCCACAGGCAAATGGAAATAATGATGCTTTGTTTGACAATGATTAGAGTTCAGGAGTTACTGCAGAATTCTCATAATTTGTTCCATTATTTAAACACAATTGCGGTACCTAAAATTATACCGCATTGATTAATTTTACGAAAGTTTTTCTTTTTGCTGATTTTTATTACCATTTATTAAAGGTGAAAGTAAACATTTCTTTAGCAAATAGAGTCCTATTAAGGTGCACAGACAGTTTTAATTCTGCCAAATTGAAAAATGATATTGGAGGATATCATATTCTTTATAAGTTAGTACTTTTTTAATGGTTGATAAAGTATTTTTAATTCAAAATTTTCTAATTTACCCAATAAATTATCTCAAATATTTATCAACATATCTGAAACGTCTAAAACCAATCTGAAATTAGTACTTTTTCAAAATAATGTCCTTTTTAAATTTAATTTTGAAGAACTTCATTTTTGTGAAAATATCTGTATATTTTTGGTGCTTCTTTCTTTCCTCTATTAACAATTAAATATCACTTTTCAAATTGTTGCCACCAAATATAGGCCTGTGTTAATTTAAAGAAATAAATATGAAGAATCTGCATAAATGCAGTTGTTTCTCCCTTTGTAAAAACCCTAGAGCCATCAAATTTCGAATAACGAATCTTCCACCGATATGGGCATCAGGGAACCAATAATTTGGAATTTGAAATTTGTTTTATTATCGATTTCATATTTTGTAACACTTCAATGAATTTTGGATTAACAATCTCAACGATTTCAAAGCGAGAAAAAGCAAAAGTGTACTGGAAAAAAAAAAAAAAAAAAAATTATTTCCAACGCGCGAAACTGTGTATCGGAAATTTTAAAGATATGCTCATTTTAAAATTATTTTGCGCTACTGCTGTTGAATTAAATTTTATGGCTTAAGTGCAAAGAACATTTAATAAATAAAGGTAATACGCAAAAGGTTTAAAAAAAGTCCCTTTGAGTGTAACGTAAAGTCTGAAAGCTTTCAGATTTTTTTTATCATTTATTTGAACTTTTCTATTTGCTAAATTTAAGCCCCCCTCATGTTTAAATATTATCGTTATATGGCTAGTATTCTTAAAAAAGAGATAGGGGCTTGTGATATAGGACAGAAGAATAATTATCTTATCCATCAGCTCACAGTTGAATAAATACTACTATTTTTTTGGTTATTGTGTTCATTCTTCGTTGCATGTTGAATTTGATAGTAGAGAGAATTAAAAAATATATTTAAAAAAAAACTGATTCTGAAGACACACACATTTGCGAAATCTGCTTTTGATCAATATCTAATCTTACATTTTCCATGTTTAGTAGTAATAATTAAGGATTTATATAATTTCCTTTCACTTCTCATTTTAATAGAAAACATCTGGTCACTTTGTAAAAAGGAAAAATTCAGATAACTTATTTAAAAATTTTATGCAAAACTATAGACAGGCAAATCACAGTATACGGAGTTATTCAAATAATTTATTACATAAAATACCTGGGAATTACTCAGCTATGTAAAGGAGCTTATAATTTTAAGAATTTAAATTTACGTTAAGTATTTATAAAATGTGAAGAACGGTGTATTATGTAAAACGTGTGAGTAAATTTTAAAAATTATCTTGCACATCTTTAGATAAATGTAACTAAAAATTTCAAATGTTGTTAAGACCATTGTGCGTTTAAAATTATACTAAAATTAGCATACATAAGGCTTTCTGAAAAAATAATTATTTCTGTAATCGTAAAAGAAATGCATCATACATTACGATGGATATTTTATCAGTTAGATTTAGTGAAACCGTGGGCTGAATTCAGCTAATGGTAAAACAAATTCAACATAAGCACGATAAAGTTTTATTTATTTATCAATACAGCGAGAGAAAGAAAAGCAGAATAAAATTGAAATATGTTTCAAATGCTAATTAGGCCAGGGTATCTGTCGTGCAACCTGATTTAATAACACGAAACAATGAATTTAACTATCTGGTATCACTTGCTCATGAAACTAAAATTAGACTTTCAAGAATAAGTTCTCTAGACGATGGCAATGATTAGGCCACGCCCATTTCCTTCGCGCTATCTGTTGTTTCCCAAAATAATGAGAAATTTAGTTGTATTCAACGATTCGAAATCAGTCGGAAAAAGGAACGGGCACCAAGCGGGCTTTAGTCAACGACATTTTCAACATATCAGTTGGATACATTCAGCAATGGACAAAGTACTCTCAGGTTTGCGTACGAAACGCAGTGTCCCATCAGAATGGATAACTGTCGTATATCGAAGGCGTAAACGAAAAGGTAAGCGTTCATTATTATATATTATGTATAGCTGATTATTTAATCTTTATGGCATAACACACAAAAACTATCTGGCGTAGTACAGATGCGTTAATGGAAGATACGCTAAAAGACACTGGGGAAAAAAGAGGCATTTAAATTTTAGGCAACGTACAGTCTAAAAGTGATACTGATGGTAAAATGTAAATAATAATTACATAACTGAACCAGGCCTGTCCAAATCGTTGCCTGCATAGTATAATCGAAAATTAAGAAAAGGGTAAGCGCGTGCGACTTTGGAAATGGGAACTAAATGGCCGATCTTTGTTTTGGTGTACTCAGAGCCGGGATAAGGGTGAGGCAAGTGAAGCATTTGCCTCAGATGAATCACTAGAAGGGGCGCCAAATTGGTTTACACAAATTCGAAAATTACTTTAATTATGTTTTTAAATTTGTCAGTTATTGTTAGGGGAAATAAGTTTCGGCAAATTTAAATTAATAAAACAATAGGAAGAATTGCAAGAAAACCTGGAAATTAATGCAATGTGCATTTCGATGCATTTCTTATTTATCCAAAAAGAATTTTTTAACAATTTTATTTGAAAGTTATAAATAATCGGCTGTATTATTTTTCTGAATTTATAAAGCTACTATTAAAACTACTTAACGAATTATGGTATAAATAGCTATAAGAATTATGATATTTTTAATTTAATACAGTTACTTTTGTTTAATACAAATATAGTTGTTTTGATATATATATAGGGACGCTCATTTACCTTTTTGCCTCAGGTGAAAAAATATCGTGGCACGGCTCTGTTTACTTAATTGAATTGAACAGGCTCCTTTAAGGCTAAAACCAAATAATAAATGATATTTCAAAGGACGGCAGCACTTTAAGAATAATCAGGAGAGTATCACGTTAAGGGCCAACTATTTAATTTATTCTGGGACTACATGGACAAAATCATGCAAATAAATGCAGTTGTGGTTGCTTATCTTAGTAAGTGATTTTGATGACTTGAGTGATTTGAGAATTTCAAAAAAAAAAAAAAAAAAAAAAAAAAAAAAAAAAAGGCTACTACATTCAGTATGTTTCTCATTGTATTCATTTCTCAGCCGACATTAAATTTACGTGTAAACTTCATAATTACGTGTATTAAATGAATTTCGCAGTATAAAGTTGCAATTAGACAATCACTGCAAATTTAATGTAATTTAAGGAAACGTATTTTTATAAGTTACATATTAATACATAAAATTTATTTTTGTGTTTTATGAGCATTCATTGTTCATAATATATCTTTGAGAAAGCTTGTAGATTTGTGGGTAACGTTTTTCTCGTAAATAAGAAAAAAAGGGAACGAAAGTAATGATATAAAAAAAGCAGACAATTATATGATAAATATGTATTGCGATCGCTTTTAAGTCTATCGAATTATAGATATAAAAGTACATTATTATTGAAAAATAGGTCTGTATGTTCCTCTTAAAACTGGAGTTTCGCATTTCTTTTGAAATTAAATATTTTTAGGATTACACAGAAATTCTATCAGAATCATTTTTCAAGTATGTTAAATAATGGTAACTACTGTATTATTATTATTTAAATATTACAGCCCTACCGGTGGCTGAATGGTTAAGATCGCTGAATACTGGCAGCTCGACCGGGATTCTCATTCAACTTATCTGCGTGAATAGGCTTTGTGTTTTTCTCCATGCGTAATCTGACTGCAAGCTAATTTTTCCCCTTTCAGAAGGCATCCCTTCCCTTAGGCAGATAGTTCTCGTATGCTTTGCCATATTCAAGACCAAATTAAGACTTTTAAAGGCCCTAAGCAATTAGAATATTTTGCTGCCCTCACATACATTAACAGTATAATGTCTATCCTTTTCTCCATTTCTTCTGTCTTGGCCTTAGTTTAACTGCATCATAGTACATTCCATAGCAAAATCAACAATGAGAAAGTTTTGTGGTATGCACCTTTCTTGATGCTCTTAGCTCGTACTTGTTTTGCTTAATGGTTGCTCCAGGTCTGGTGATATTCCAATAACTTAAATATTATATTTGTATGCGGTCTGTGTCATATTTCTGACTGTTTTTGGTATATTTTTGTTATAGTATGCAGCATTTCTATGTTATTGTATTTCTTATTCTGGAATTATTAATAGTATGGATGAATTCTGGAAACGAACTGAAATTCATATGTGAACGTTTATGGTTTAGAATTAATATGAAGTTAGTAGTTATCGTTGCTGAAATTGTAGTATTACGATAGTAAAGTATTTCTTTTACCAAAGTCTATAAACATCACTTTTATTACTTTATAAGGTATTTTCTGCCTCCTTTTGGCATGTCTTCGTGGTGTAATTGGAAACATACTCGACTCCTATTCCAAAGATCCAAAGTCCAGGCGAGGACACTGCAAATGTTGCACCTCCCTTGCTTCAAAAATACCTAATGACTCTACAACTTTAAAAATGACATCAGTTCATCATTGCAGAACTATATTTTAATCGTTGAAATTACTAAAATGTCTGAAATATATAGCATCTAGATTCAAATTAGAAATCTAAATCTTTGGAACAGTTTGATGCCTTCCTACGTGAATTCCTTGGAAATTAATATTAATGTTGACACTAATATTTCCGTACAGAGGCTTAGTTTTTCTGAGGCTGAGTCCTAAATTTTGATATCTCGAGTCATTAGAATCTTTCACATAAGAATGAACAGAGGGGGAACTATAATTTAATACTAAATATTTTTAGTGAAGCAAAATTTGAAATTTACATTAAATGTAAATTAAGGATTGCTGTTTATAAAAATACACTTGCTTTAGTATTAAGAAGATGGAATGAAATTTAATGGAAAAATACACCACCTTTTGAATCTTAAGGTTTATTTTTTCTGCATATTTTGACAAAATGTATTTTCTTTGAAATAGGCTTTGTTTAGGACACTGACAAAAGTTCGATCAAAGATGAGAGAACAATAGCTTAAAAGGTTTGTCGTTATGTTACTCGTGTAAATATGGATGATTTAAGGTTTAGTAGATTTTCAGCTAAAACTAGCAGAAATTCTTTCAAAAACTTATGAAAAATGCTTTAAAAAATTTCAGTTGAAGATATCTATAAAGTTCATTATATCCATTTTTCATAGGGTTGGGGGTTCACTATAGCCATGTAAAATAACACTAATGCATAGGAAATCGGACAGAACCAAAACATCTGATCGTTGTATCCGGGATTTTGTTACATCGAGTTCGCTATAGGGAGGTTTGACTGTATATGTAATTGATATAATTTAAAATACATTTCATTTATATTATATCCAAATCATAATTTATATGAACATCTGTAGCACTGGTTTAATTGATAAAAATATTTCGAATGCATATTAATATTTATATATGCACAACTATATATTAAATAATTGGTACTTATGTGAAAAGTAGTGTACTTTAGGCACAGTTTTTTTGGAGGGCAGAACACTAGAAAACTAATCAAATAAAAACGCTTTGCTGTTTATTTATATTTAATTTTCAGTTCTGAAGGCGTTGCATTATATCCCATTAACAGTTATGCTATCAGACTGTTTATCATCCTCACGAATTCATAAGTCTATCATTTCGCAAGACATATGGTTCTTTAATTTGCCTTTCTGGCTTGGCAAATAAGCATTTCTCAGGATGTTACCATTTGATGTGCGATAAGAATAACTTTAAAATTATCAATAAATTTCTGTAAAATATCCAATTGTTCATTTTTATGAATATTTGTACGCTGTTATAAATAATAAAAATTATTTTTAATGCCAGATATTGCGCATTTGATATAAATAAATTGATTTTTACTTACTTATTTTCACATACTATTTTATTATTTATCTATTTCTTAATTCGTATTTCTAGAAAAAAGTATAATTAATTATGCTTTAAATAATGTTTTAATTTCTCCCGTATCATACGTTTTAAGGCGCTCGGTATTTGCGTTTTAAAATAAACATATGTACTTTTCTGTAAACGTAACATTTAAAAACTTTGCTCTTTAAAGTCATATGTGTTAATAAATAAACTATGAGCACATCAGATATTAACAACGGAAGACATACATGGCAACAGCTGCAAAAACAAAGGGTAAAGACAGCTAACTGATCTGTATCTCTATTTGGGTAGAATTTAAGGATGGAACAAAGATTTTACTGTTCATATTGCGAAAAAAAATTGATCAGCCCAAATCTTGTTGTATCTTCCTGTATTTTCGAAATTGTATACAACCTTTCACAGAGCAATTGACTGAAATTTAAAGCTGTCCATTGAAAAAAATTACGCTTACAATCTTTACAGTATGACTATAACTTTACCCATTAGATCTCTTTTTTTTTTCCTTTCTCTTTCTTCATCTTGCTTCCGTATTATTCGTATAAAAAGTATTATTCGTATATTCCGTATTATTCGTATAAAAAGTACATTTTCTTAAAAACCTACAATATGTATTTATGATTGTGTACAGCATGCAGATTAATTGACAATGTTTGTGAAATATTCAGCGTTGGAAACTTAACGAAAAAGTTACATTTAAATGTGCTTCTGCTACAAAATAAGCCACATTTCTTACCTACTTCATTACAGTTACAAATAAAAAGACATTAAAATTGCTTAATATATAATAGTAAGTGTGAAATTAATAAAAAGGCATTACAATTATTTACTTTATTACAGTTACGAATAAAATGCAAAAAATAAACTATATTATGTGCTGAACTGCATTAATTTTTTATAATTATATATGAAAGAGAAATAATTAATAATTTGAATTAATTTTAGACATAAGATAATTTCTTTGCTAAGTTTTAGAACAATTAAAATAAGGGGGAAGACTGTTTGGAATAACAAAAATTTATTTTATTGTTTCAACTGTTGATTGGCTTACACCGTGTTATTTACATAATTGCCACATGACACATTTCCGATTAACTCGGATATTTGGCATTAACCGTATATTCAGTATCGCCCTGTGTTTCCGCTAGTTTCGACTCGGTTCCAAAATCCAAGACGTTGCTTCAAAATAAACAGGAACCGCTGGTAAACATTTAGATATGCAAAAATACTTAATCAGCATCTCTTACGTGCTGATTTATTTACGTGTCACGCATAGAATAAGGCGAAAGCGGACCAATCCTTGGAAATGTAATGGATCAGCTGTCTGGAAGGGGTTAAAAGGCCAAGAGCAGTGGATAACGCACGTGATTTGCGTGACATACCCACGTCATTGTTGGCGGCCGTTTCGTGAAATATGACAAGAGAAACGTGACAGATGAAAATTATTCTCACAGAGATGCGTAGCGCGGTGATTTTATTGAGCGGAATGCGTTCAACTTTTTTTTTTAAGCGAAAGGAAATTTATTTATCAGACTAGTATTACAAATTTAAAATTTAGAAAAAACATATCTCACATTTTTCAATTGACAGATGCACACAAAATAGAAAAGGGCAACGTTACAAAATTTTTAAAATCAGAATTTTTAAAGATGTAGTTTTTTGTTCTTGATATAGCATTCTTGAACTAGGCATGCACAACCAAACTGGCTCAAGACGCGAACTTCTTTAATTAGATGCATACATGTCACATATTTATAACAGCAAGTTTGGAGCTAAAAAGGGAAGTGAAGGCTGCCTATTTACAGGGCAGAGAAGCTGAGATGATAGCTAATATGGATACCATATTAAGAATACTGAAATCGTGCTTCTACGACCGTGTTTGTGTTAGTTGACTAAGGTTTTAGTTTGCAAATTTTAACATTATTATTGACTTAATTTTCACTTTTGCCATAACGTAAGAACATGTGGCATGAGCGTTATATAAGAATCTTGAAATGACGCAGTTCAGAAATAGTATTTATTACGCATTTTTTTTTTTTTTTTGGATCAAAAGGGAAAACGGGCACACGAAAAATTAAATTTAAGGAGCTGGTTTCAAATATAAAGTTAGAATTTTATTTCCCCCCCACACATACACATCTACAGAATCATTAAAAAAGGACGGACAGTATTTTCCGAGTTGAGTATGTAGTTGTGCGGAATCACCAAAAATTAAAATAGTGTTTATCTGAAACTGTTAAGCATATTGAGATAATTCCAATATGCTTAAACGCTTTGAACTTGATAGATTGAGATAAAGACAGATTGAAAAATCGTAGTGCCTTGTGTTTTTTTAGAAGGAATATCCAGTAGCCTGCTACTCTCGATCCAAGTCGTACTGCCAAAACTAGAAATGGGATGAAGCCTAAATTTTCTCGAAACCGATTGTTGAAATGTCCTATAATCTTCCAAATCTCGAATCTTTCGTATAATAATAACAGTAAAAATAGTAATAATAAGATGTAATGTTTTACTTTGTTTTAGAAGTTATTAATTAAAGCAAGATTTAAAATCTACGTTTAATAATTAAAAAGTATAAGAAAACAATATTAAAAAAAGATACTATAAACCTGTGTTTAAGACTTACTATTAATTTTCCAAGGAAGGATTTTGAATAACATTCTTTTGAGAGCAGTTCTAGATTTTGTCTCCAGTTGGGCGATTTCTCATAAACTTACTTTCAATCCTTCAAAAAGTAAAGCTATGCTTGTTTCCAGTACGTTTTGATGAACAAAAATTGCTTCTTTGATGCTCGATAATTCTCCGTTGGAATTTGTAGAAATGTAAGTATCTTGGTGTCATTCTTGACCAAAAAGTAACATGGAAAAAGCACATTGAATTCCTTTCTGCTAAATGTGAAAAAATTATTAATGGCTTTCACCGAATTACCAAAAATACTTTTGGAGTAAGCTACGATGTTAAGAAATTCATGTATAAGCAGTGTATTGTACCTTTCATTTCGTACGGCTGTCGTGCTTGAAGACATGTTCTTGCCAAGAAGGTTAACAAAAGAAATTTAAGAAAGATTCAACGGAGAATTCTTCTTCGTATTATTAGTGGTTATAGAACCTTAAGCTATGAGGCTACTTTTGTTCTTGCAGGAGTTCTGCCTATTGATTTTGAAATTGCATATAAGAATAATATTTTTGAGTCATTGGCAAGTCATGCTTTGGAAGACTGTATTAATGAAATTGTCCCCTTCACTGATCTTCCTCATCCCGCTACTTTAGAACCCATAAATTAATGCGATTATAAAGAGACTGCTGAAATAAGTTTTCATATGGTTTTCTTTACAGATGGCAGCAAGATGAACAACAGGGTTGGCCTTGCATTTGTTCTTTTTGAAGGCCATTCCGAGATTTGTTTTCTTAGACACCGTATACGGAATGAATGTACAGTTTTTCAAGCAGAACTTCTGTGCATTTATCTTGCCGTCAAATGGATCCAGGATCATGGACAACATCTTCAAAGTACCTTATTGTTTTTCGATTCTCTTTTTCTTTTCAACTTTTCAACAGTATTACCAGCTGCGATAAATAGTTATCGAAACCCTAGTAACTGTTAGTTCACTTAGAATTAGAGGTATTGATATCTGCTTTGCTTATGTGCGTGCTCATCATGGTTTCTACGGAAATGAAAGAGCTGATTCTTAGCTAAAGATGCCTTAAATTTACCCATTGATATCAACATTAGCATTCCAAAGAGTTATTGGAAGTCCTTTCATTATAAAAAGCTTTTAGCTATGTGGAATGAGGAATACATTTCATCTTGTAATGCAAAAAGTTCCTTCCTTCTATTTACCATAGACTGAATTCCGAGTCTTTCCTCTCGTTAATTTTAAAGTGTCTCAGTTTTTATCTGGTCACGGTAAATTTGCAAGTTATCTGTTTCGTTTAATCTACGATCAAACAATTATGTGAATGTTCAAAAAGAGTTCCTCAGGATGTGGAACATTTGATTTTCTCGTGCCCTACATTTGATGGCCCTAGATTATGCTTACAGAACGATTTGAAAATGTTCGGAGTGACTTGGCCGGTGAACTTATCTGTTTTCGTGAAGTTCAGACTGCTGTTCTCTGCTTTTGTTCGCTTTATTTATGCATGTAATTTTTAATGTTTATTTATACATGTAACCTTTAATGTTTAACTTACTTCTGTAAGCCCCGTGTTGTACATATGTGGTGCACGGGGAGTCTGTATGTTCTCAAAGGAAAAAAAAATGTTTTTACATTTCCGGTATTGTTTTTGGGTAACTATTTTATATGACTGTATAATCTGAAGTGCAGTTATAAAGCGGTTCATGTTTGTATGTTAACATTATCGTAATAATTTTATTTTTATTTTTATTTTCAGCTAAGGGGGATGAAGACCATGTTCCTTTGATTGTTGAACTTGCAGAATTATGTATATCAACAAATACGGTGAAACATTATACAAGTGCATTTCATCTAGTGAAGAAACTATGCCCACAGCTTATCATTAGAAGAGGATTTCCATTTAAGCTGACTTTAACTCTCAACCGATCATATGATCCCGAAAAAGATGTTCTTTGCTTGGTATTCACTTTAAAAGGTTAGTGTGGTGTTTCTTGCTTGAATCTTTCCGTTTATGCTCCATATCGGTGTCTGCCAAATGCCGGGTTATGACGCGACACTTGGTCACGAAAGCAAAACCCTTGGCCACAGATTAAATAATTTACTAGCCTTTCATATTACAGTAACATGAAACTGTATACTGCAGAAGTGGCCATAGCGTGGCACTCCCTGGCGAGTGATGCGGCTCTTATGTAAATAAAATGTCTGGTTGTCTGAAAAGTCATGACGAATTTTTTCTATGTTCTTCAAAGTTATTTGTTTTTGTGAAGATCGATGAGCAGTCAATAGTATACTGCCCGTTTTGTTCGATAACTGCTTGCTTTCCTTTAATGAGCTTTGTAATTCCTCATTCACAAAAGAACCTAACTTTATCAGCGAAAAGCTCGACAAAATGCTGGTTTACGGCCTCATCTGGATTGATTGTTATACCACGAAAGAAATTTTGAAGAGATGAAAACAAATGAAAGTCTGAGGGCACAAAATCAGGCGAATATGATACTCGTGGCGACACTCTTCATCTAAACTCCAATAAATTTTTTGTCAGGTGATCAAACTTCTTTGTAGTCTCACGTTATCGGAATGGGATGCAGTTTCTATACGATTAATAAACTTAACTAATGAAGTTTCTGGAAGATAGATTCCTTGGAACTGTCCAAGTTGGCTACACACATTCGAATTATTTTGTTGGCTCACTGGCAGGAGCTTGGAAACAAGACCACGCAGAAGTTGATCACCTGATAAAAATTATTGGAGTTTGGATGAAAAGTATTGCCTCGTTTATAATTCTTGTTTTATCTTGTGCTCTAATATTTTCACTTGTTTCACTCTCTTCCAAAATTACTTTCTTGGTATGACATTTAACTCAAATCAGCAACTTATTCTGCTTTTCTTCAAAAATGCTAGGTTCTTTTGTGATTGAAGAATTACGAAGCTCTTTAAAAGAAAGTAAAAAAGTTATGAAACAGAAAGGGCGATATACTGTTTACTGATCATTGTTTTTTATATAACATCGAAAAAATGCGTCTTTGAAGAACATCGAAAAAATGCGTCTTGAATCTTTAGACAACCTAATATACATATGAAATATGATAAACTAAAATTAGTCAGCGTTCAAAAGAAAGTCAGACTGTCATTGAATGATTATTTACAATTCCTCATTATCTATAGAATCAGACTTTTCTACTACTTTTGGAATGAGCACGCTATATTTTAAATATATTTAATGTAATACAGATATTTTTTGACTGTTACTTGACTTAAAAAATTGATAAAATATAGATTTCTATCAGATTTTATTTCTATGAGCTGTAAATGGTTCAATTATTTTTATAATTTATTTTGAGTATCAAATTTTTAGGAAGAAAACCTTTTTATCTTTTATTATTAATTAATTAAACTGAATACTTATTATGATATGGATGTTCTAATTTAATAGAAACTTTATTAACTGCTTTATAAATAGAACCAATGTAATGGATTGTCCTTATTTTTATTTTTTGTTTCATATTTACATTTATTCTCAGATGCAGCTTCTCCTTCATATTCGCAGAAAACGGAAATATTTCTACCTGTTCTATCATGTGAAGAAGGAGAGAAATTGCTTTCAGAATGGAAAGTACGGATTCTGGAAACAAGTGAAAAAGAATTAACATTAGAGGTAGTTTTCTTTTAATTATTTTTGCAGAAATATAATTTAACAGCGAAGGCTGAAGATGCATTGAAGCAGTAAATTAAATTAGTGTAAAGCATTAGTGCAAGTCTGAATTTCAGTGTTAAATAAAAACAAAAATAAAACTTATATTTTCAAAGTAATAAGCTGTATAAAGACATCATCTTATACTAGTGTGTAAAAATTAACCAATAAATTTATTTTTCAACATACAACCACGAAACTTTTTAAAAGGCTCGTAGAGGTTTATATTTATTTTAATAACAAGTTAAACTTCAAACTTTCCTATAAGTCTTCATTACCTATTACTAATTGTCATTGCCAGAATAGTTAAATTTTGTATTGCGCGTGAAGGAATGCAAATTTCTACTTTCAAGAAAGTATTCAAAAGCCGAATTTCCAGTAGGAGAAAAACCGCTACCCATGCCGTAGATACGTTTGGCTTATTGCTGGTTCAAGTGGCTTAATTACATTTATTTGCTGCCACTGGTTTCGAAGGGGTTTAAGTTACGAGATGTCGCTGAGCCCTGTGGGTTAGCTCTATCACTTGTTAGTATGTTCAAATTTTAGTTTCATTATCTGACTTTCAGTTACTGCCGAAGCAGAGGCGAAGTTTGTTAGCGTCGAGTTGACGCATTGTAAATTTTAAAGTGAGTTTTGCGATCAGTACAGTTAAAGGCAAATAAATTAGTATCAAAGTGATGCGTATGCAAATATCAGTACGATGACGTCACATGATATGTCGGGACATGCAAAACCCGTGGAGACAGCGCGCACTGCAAGGCATCAAAAGAAGAAGAAAGGAAAGCGTTTTCTAGGTCTTCATCTGCAAGTGAAAGTGAGATTGTACGTGCAATGCGACTACAAGAATACATGACGCCTTTACACGTGGCAGAATGATTAGCAAACTTGAGGAGGGGTGTAGTTTTACACCTATCGCCCAGGAGTTTGGAATAGACAATCCAAACGATAGGTATAGCTGGAAAGGTTAAGAAAGGCAGGTGGTAGTTGCCCAATGAAAACAACGGTAACTAATGACAGATGTATCGCCCTGCAGACGAAAAGAAATGGAAACCAGATAGCGGGCAACACTACTCAGCAGTTCTGCGTGGCAACATTACTGGCAACCGGACAACAGGTGTCCCAGTTTACCATGCCCAGATGATTTCATAAAGGTGGCCTAATCGCCTGCCATCCTAAATGCTGCATAACATTGACAGCAATCTATTGGTGGCACTGTTTATAGTGGTGTAGAGAATACAGACACTGGATACCTATCATCAATGGAACCTCTAAGTTTAGTGGTGAACTTAGGGACGACCCAAGCAAGTTCATAAGGTCTATTTTTAGACAAAGTGGATCGGGCTGTATTCTTCTCATTTGTACGTTATCAATGGAGTCACTTCATCTTTACTGATGAGAGTCGTTTCAGTGTGATAACGCCAGTTGATATGTATGGAGGTAGAGACGTGCTTTTATCCCGCTAACATCAGGGAAAGAGACCATTGGCATAGTCCTGGTATGTCTGTATGGGGACGCATTATGATGAACAGACGGTCGGAGTTCCACTTTTTCAACAGAGGTTCACTTTACGAAAATCGTTACTGTAATGAAGTTATCCTCCCCCACGTGCGTCGTTTCCGGGGTGCCATTGGTCCCGACTTTGTTTTTATGGACGATCATGCACAGCCACACAGGACTCATGCTGTTGAGGAACTCCTGGAAAGTGAAGATATCTTCAGAATGGATTGGAAAACTTGCTCTCCTGAATTAAATTCCATTGAACATGTGTGGGATAGTTTAGGGAGACGCCTGGCGACACGATCGTACCTTCCCGGAGAACAGCAGACAAACTAAACAGATGCTCCTTGAAGAAGAGATTTCTTACACCATGAACTTTTAGACATTGCTGAGTATTCACAAACGATGCAACACAGCCAGTATTAGGCACACCCCAAGTATAATAAGTTTTGGTTTGTGCGCGCCTCCAACTTGCACGCAACCAAGAGGTGACTGTTGAAACTGGAAAATAGACAGAGTCTTGCTAAGGGTTTAAGTCCCTTTTTATTCAACTTAAGAAATTACAATTGCGTGCTCTTGACGCTCACAAACTACGCCGAACCGGCGGTAAAATAAAAATAAGAACCTGAAAAGAAATAATAACAAGACTCTAACTACGAGGCTCTCTAAAAGTAACTAACCTCACCGCGTTTTACAATACCGCTGCTAATTCAGCAAACTTTGAATATCACGTTGAACGATTAACAATTCTCCGAGGCAAGCACACAGGCCGAAACGCGGGGTTCTTCAATTTCTGGCTAACTACCTCCGCGCTCGTGAAGTAAGAACAGCACACCTCGAACTCGTTTCCTTTCTATTTAACTCAGAATACTTCCGCTGATAATTTGAATCCTTGCGCGTTCTACTAAAATTTACATACTCTGGCATTGGCAGTTCCAGGGGAAAGTAAGGCTTGACAGGAAAGATAGTTTAAACTTAAAATAAATGTTAGTTAAAATAATAAAACCCTACAGCAATGGTACTCGGTATTCTGTAAATTTCTATTTTTGCAGTGCGTCCTATTCATTTTTTTTTTTTTTTCTACTATAATTTCCTCATCCTCTAAGTTCTATATTTTCCCTCTGTATTATGAATTTCATGTCTCTCAGTTGGTTTTCGTGGAACTACGGCTAAAGTCAGAAAATTTGCCTAAATTTTGCTCACTAGCGTAGTTACTGATTATGTGTGCAACAAGTCTTGCAGACATATGCTGTACGGTTCAGTTTTGTTTAATATGGTCTTTTCATTATCATTAAATGATAACTGAGGTTATCATGTCATTTTTGTCATGAACGATCTATCACAAAATATCTAAAACTGAAAGTAATATAATGTGTTTTTAATCTATAATAGGAACTCTGTTTTAAATTTCTAATAATGATATTCTTTCATTTACTGGGAAGTTCTAACTTTCGAAAACTGTCTGAAGATATTCGTATTTTTTTTTAAATTATTCAAATTTCAGGAAATTTTTAGAATTTAATTTTAGGTAAGTATAATTCTTTATGAATATTTTCTCATACAGAAAAATCAGCTTTTTCATAATGCTGATATTTTGTGAACATTTTTTCTTAATGCGGAGAGAAATATTAAAACATACATTTCTTAAGCAGTAATTATAATATTGTTTAAAGTAATAGCTTTTAAACTTGACTATGAAAACAGTCTAGACTGTATTTGACTATGAAAATATTGACAGATACAAGATAGTATGGACCTTTAGGAACTGTGAAAGATTAAATTCTAAACATTGATAAAGTTGAGAATAATAATTTATAGATGAATATATAATGCAATAAATTCTATTTTTCGGTGCTTTCGATATAGGCATGTTTCATTTTATAATGTTTTACATCTTATGCTTTGCGGAAAAGCATATAAATACTGTTTATTTTACATAATAAGATTCTTGTATATGTTAGGTAACACCAGCACCAAATGCTATAATTGGAGAATGGATTCTTGAAATTGATTCAAGATCAAAAGATAACAAAAATGCTGCAGATTTCCGCTACAAATCAAAGAATCCTATTATTATTTTATTCAATCCATGGTGCGAAAGTAAGTATTTATGATTTCTGTTTTTATTCTGAGGAAGGAATCAAAAAGCAATGATATGTAAAAGAAAAGCTTTAATTTGTAACAAAATATTTAGTAAAAGACTTTATTATTTACATCTGCTTAATCCGTAATCAATTACTACAGTAAAAATTCCGAAATTTGGAATCGTCAAAATTTCCGAGATTCTCAGATTTTAGATCATCAGTTTAAATCCAGTGAATCAAAATTTAGACATGGTAACATTCAGATTTTACTTATTGTTTAGGTCAGTTACTAGAAGAATAATGACCTCCCTAAGACATATAGGGCCAACGCCAGAGTAGAGGCAATCGGTGTGTCTACATTGGGTGTCTTGGAGGCGACAAAAAGTTTAGAATTTAGAGCAGCACCAAGCATAAAAAATTAGGAAAAAATTTTACAAGGTAACCAAAAACGTTTTTCCTGTTTCTGATATGACATTGGAAGAGTGAACCCCAATATAAAAATAGTCGCCAAACCTGGCGATAAAGTGGTTAGGATGGGATTCCGGACATTGACCAAAAGTATAAAAGCGCGTTGCACGTTCAGTCGAGGTTGCTTTTGACCGCGTCTGGCATTCAGGGCTAATCTTTAAGCTAATTCATCTCGGTTTCCACAGAAATCTGATACTCATTATCAAGTCCTTCCTTGAAAATAGAACTTGCACCGTTGGAGTTGGAAATGCAACTTCATGTGTCAAAAATATTTACGCAGGTCAATTTTAGGCTCAAGGGTCAATTTTAGGCCCGCTTTTTTACATCATCTATACCAACGATTTCCCTTGCTTTTCCGAGGATATAAATGTTCTCGCAGCTAGATACGCTGATGATACAGCGATAGCCACCAAGTCTCTAAACACAGAGTATGCCTTGTCAAGAATTCAGGCGAAAATCCCTGCTATTGAGGGGCGGTGCAGTCGCTGAAAAACGTGCATTCAGCCAGAAAAGTCCAAGATTCTACTCATCTCGAAATCGCAGACAGAGGAAACGGGTCTAGAACTGAGGTTAAACTTTTTGGCAAAATCATCCCTACAGTTGGTAAAGCTAATTACCTGGGAGTTACCCTTAACAAGAACTACAATTGGAAGGATCATATGCTTAGAGTAAGCGGAAAAGCACACGGGATCATTTTCAGGCTTTTCCCTCTCCTAAAGAATGAAAACATCACCCTCAGACTGAAAAAGAGGATTTATGAAACTGTAATCCGACCCATTCTCACGTATGCTTCCCCAGCCTTGGCAAACTACAAAGCAAACGAAATTAGCAAACTCCAAGTGCTTCAAAATAAGGTGCTAAGAATCATCACAAAAGCTCCTTACTATGTTCGGAATAGGACTCTCCACTCCGACTGGAAAATAGATACTATTCAGGACTACCTCAGCAGAATAAACAACTTTTTTAATAATATTATCAATGTGAATCCCGCTAATTTCACGGACATTCTTATCTACGAAATCTGGCTGAAGACAAAAACCTCCGCCCATTTGCCGCCCACTTCTTGAGTTCAGAATTCTAAGTTCCAGTTTTCTGGTTTTCAAGCAGCATCGATCGGGGTTAGTTTCTGGGAGGGTGACCTCCCACGTGACTGGCTCCGACGAATGAACAGTTAGTATTCGGGCTATCCTACACAGGTCATCCGAAGTTTCTTTCTCCGGCCCCTGCTTGGCGGATTCCATCCAAGATGTAGCAGTACAGGAGCAAAGTGCTTCTTTTTCTCTCTCCAGCACACTTCTACCTCCACGAGAGAAAATTTCTTTCAGGTTTCTACTCTGTCAGGCCCCACATGGGATCACATCAGGAACTGGCAAGAGCAGGACTTTAATTTCCTGCTGAAAGCCAGTATAACCGCAAAGTTCCAAAGTCGAGGTCACTTCACGGGAGGGTAACCCCCACGTGACTGCCTCCGACCAATCGTCTATGAACTACATTCATTTAGACAGTTTGAACTCTTAAATTTCTCGTGAAAATATCCTAGTGTGCCATTCTTACTGCTCAAATACCTTAATGTCGGGTTTTTAATTAATAATCATAACGATTTATTATCTGATTCTCAATGTAAATATCTGAATCTATTAATCTGTAGACTGTTTAGTGGGTGTATACTCACGTGACGGTTTGCAGCTAGCAAGAATAATTTTACAACTTCACAGCTCGAACTGCTTTCTTCAGATGCTACTTCGAAATTATTTACAATAATAAGTACACTAAGTACTTCACCAGCTTCGCCTATTTATGCGGGGAGGTATTTCCCATGTTTTAATTATTTACCAAGCCCCACGGACAATTTCCCATGATAGGCAGTAAAAGTTGAACTAAAGGTTGCTATTACCAATACCATTAGATTACTTCAAACATAACTCACACAGTCACTGATTGAAGTGAGCGCGTCAAAGGCGCTCGTTCGGAGTTGTTTGCTGTATGATTTTAACGTGGGAATCAAGTCTCCGAATTTGCCAGACTTTGAGGATGATGCCGTTAACGATTGAACCGCTAAGAAATGGTTCCAGAAGTACAAATCAGGGTATATGTTTCTTAGTGATGCAACATCCAGCGATGGGCCACGACGATGAGGCCCTGAGAGCAGCATAGAGAGTGACAGTAGTCAAACATGTGGTAAGCTTGCCGCACACTTTCGGGTATCTGATGAAACGATCAGATCGCATTTGCACCGCATAGGAAAGGCATACAAGTGGGTACCCCACTCACTGTTAGATGCAAACAAGCAACAGCGTGTTGCTGCCTGTTTGTCATTCCTTACTCGGCACCGCAATGCATCCATATTTGATTGAGTAATCACTAGCGATGACAAGTGAGTCCACTATGACACACCCAGGCGTTCCAGACATTGGTTGTCACCACGGGACCCTGTGCCTCACACTTAGAGACCATCTCTCCACCCACGCATGATCATGCTCTGTTTCTGGTGGACTAGTCACCAAGTGGTGCATTATAAGCTCCTGCCAGTGGGCCAAACCATCATAGCAGGCCAGTTGGAACAGCAGCAGTTGAAACGTGTGCATCAGAAACGGATGCATAAAAAGCCAGTATTGGTCAATCGTAAAGGTGTAATCCTCCTCCATGACAATGCGAGGCTGCATGTGGCTCGGGAGGACAGGAACACCATCCAGCGATTGGGCTGGGAGACACTAACCCAGACCTTACGCGAAAGGCCCTCACGGACTTATTTGCGTTCAAAACTCCTGAGTTTTACCGCGATGGCGCAGCTAGCCACTCGTTTGGAAAAGTTATTGGATGCCGATCTTTATTGTCTAAAACGGCAAGCATTTTTTAGGTTACCTTTTCGAATTTAGAAGAGGAATCAAGCATCAAAATTTTTGAAAAATTTTTAGAATTTAGAAGAGGAACTGGGCAGTAGATTTTAGGAGCAGCAAAAGATTTTGGATTTATGGAGATACCGAGTAGCAGAATTTAAGAAGTCGCGGAGAATGCATTAGACAGCAGTAGCCTCGGCCATGTTTCCCTCACAGGCAATTACTCATCGGCCGCGCTTTGTCCTCTTGACAAACATCATCAATTAATGTATTGTTAAATGCTACGGTGCAACTTCCTAGCCAGCAGGTGTTTTAAAGTGGCATGCAGGAATTTGTGCAAGTCCGATTGCCTGAGCTGAAGAAAAATTGCATTTACAGCCCACCTGCTACCTTTTGTTATTATTTTCTCTATTCCTAGATTTTATAAGGGGGGATTTTTTATCACTGTATTTTTTATTTATTTGGCTGGTGCTCCAGTGGTCCGGGTATTAGATCATTCCGTGTATTGTACGTTCAGATTTCGGACTTATTACAGCATTAATTTGTTTACAATATTTTTCATCATTGAAAGATTTAAGTAAATAATTTTATTAGTTGTAGATATAGAATAATAGTCTCTGTATTTAGAAAACTTACTACATTTTGAGCTCAGTTCTTAATGTTTTTTCATATGACATGAGTAGACTACAGATGCAAGCATGTATATATAGGGTGGGGAGGATAAAGAGCGGTACGAATATGCAGAATCTTCATTCAATGAAAAATAAATATAAGAATACAGTTTTAAAAATATGCATGTACTTATTAAAATGATGTTGAAGAAGTTGAGTGAGTGAAGTGTATAAAACACTCGACAAAAATATTTGCGGTTTAAATTTCAAATAACAGTCGCAATTCAGCACGACTGAGAGGTTCAGCTAGTAGGCAAATGTAGTTATGACTGTGATGCAACATATATATATATATTATGGCATTGATTATTATCAACATTTAGGATTTATTGGTTTATCTCTGGGCTAAGCTATCAAGAAAATTCACTAACGAGTTTTGAAAATTTATGAATAAATTACAATGCACTGATAACTTGAAAATTCGGTGCTTTTCCGTTAACGAGGCTCCGATCATCAAATTGTGTGGCAAATGGCCAAATGTGGTAGCTTATGTATATCGTATCATGAATAACTATGCAATATTTAGTGTATCCAATGCTGAATTTTTACAACTTTCTGATGATTTTTTTAACTGAAAGCAGATTGCTGTGTACGTAATTCTCTCCATTTATACAGTGATCTATTTTCGCTAAATATATATATATATATATATAAGAATAAATTGAATTTAATTAAAAAAAAAATTAAATTTAAATACATATTTAATTAAATATTCTTTGCGCCATTGCTGCAAGGAATGAAATTTAAATTTAAACAAATTTAAATTTAATTTTTAACAAATAACGTATAAAAGTAAAAAAGCAAATTTAAGTTCTAATAAAAGAAAAAGCCAAAATAATTTAAAAAAAAAAAAATGTGCAAACATGTAAAAGATTTAATTCTCGAACTAATCTACAATATCATTTAAATTCAGAAGCATAAGCAAATCAAGTGCAAAATCAATCTATGAAAATAAATTTACTAATTTAATAAGTTAAAATTAAATTAAACAATTTTTTTAAAAAAATGCATATGTGAATGACCGTTGAGTAGGCAGGAGACAGACTTATCAAGGGGAAGTTGCCTCCAAACCTAACTCTTTCAATTCGTGTTCGTCATTCATGCAGGCAAGGGTAAAAGTCAAAACCAAAAGTAATTCCAATAAAGTGGCACCCTTAGAAATTAAAATTTAAGAATTAACATTTAAGAATTAAAGTTCAAAAAGGAAAACACTAATGAAGTCTCCTGAGAAACAAGCAAGCAAAGTCAAGAATTAAACTTTTTCAATGTCTTTTAGAAACCCTTGTATACAGAAACTTCCCTGGAGGCAACTTCCCCTTGATAAGTCGGTCTCCTGCCTACTCAACGGTCATTCACATATGCATTTAAAAAAAAAAAAATTAATTTAATTTTAATTTATTAAATTAGTAAATTTATTTTCATAGATTGATTTTGCATTTGATTTGCTTATGCTTCTGAATTTAAATGATATTGTAGATTAGTTCGAGAATTAAATCTTTTATATGTTTGCACATTTTTTTTAAAATTATTTTGGCTTTTTTCTTTTTTTAGAATTTAAATTTGCTTTTTTACTTTTATACGTATTTGTTAAAAATTAAATTTAAATTGCTTAAAAATATATATCTATATATATATATATATATATATATATATATATATATATATATATATCAGAGTATTGCAAATTTTGGCACCTCGCACAGTTTCGGCATTGGACACCTTAAACATTATGTTTAAGTTACGCATGTTTTATATCTATATGACACTTCACTGGCATTATAAGTTCACTTTTTTCTCATGGTGCTTTACGTATCGTTAGTACGATCTAGTTAGATTTTACGCCAACGTTTATGTTTGATGCTAAGTGGCACCTTGTTAATAGAAAAGTACTGGTAATTCTGGAAGATTTCGCTAAATGTCATTCTGAAATATTGTGACTGTTAAGATTATCATGAGGTAATACTACCGATCGAAGTCTATTAAAAGCGAAGCTACAGTGTTTTTCTTTTCATGAATACTTCTGTCGGATGTTTGTAAAATGTCTTTTCGAAGTTGCAAATTTTAATTACTTTTAGGTTAAGATTCATTCTCGCTGTCCCGTTAAAAAATAAGAAAATTTAGAAGGTTTAAGTTTTTTAATCAGAAATTCAAGAACCCTCTAGATTTCAGGATTAACTACTTTACAAAAGATCTCAAGATAAAAAAAAATTAGATAAATTATTTTTTAGGCTCACCTTCGCCCGTTGTCTTTTAATTTATATTTGTTCTCTTAAGGATCTTCATTATAACAAAAAATCAACAACTCTAGAACTCATCATCTGATTCGCAGCAACTTTCAGTGCTTGTAAAGGACACAATTAAGATAGTCTAGGAAGTTGCATTAGTATAGAAAATTGCATGCAGCCAATCTCTTAAGGGTTTTTAACAACTCTTTTCCTTGCTTTTATGAAGGAAAATAGGATTATAAGAAATAATAGGATGATATGGTGCTCCCTAAAAATATGGTAACCTACAGCCAGTCCTTGTTAGCCTGTACAATGTGACTTATAAAAATGTTTGTCATTTCATTAATGAATCAGTCTTAATGGTTTATTTATAATGAGTTAATCGATCATATAGGTTTATTTATAATTTAAATTAAAAATTCGTCCACTTACTCTCTAGCTTGGATTGTAATTTTTCATTTTCATATTAAAAATAATTCAGTACAATTATTATTATGTATTTAATTATGTAAATTATTTTTAAAAATTTGAGAGTTCGTGTTCATGTATCAAACGTTAAACGTGCGTAATTTTTGTACAGGTGATTCAGTTTATATGCCAGATGAAGATAAAAGATCCGAATATGTTTTAGCTGACAGTGGTCTTGTATGGCGAGGCAGCCATAACTGTCTTAGGCCCTGTGTTTGGAATTTCGGACAGGTATGAATAATGGTTACATTTGAATTCATAATACAAACCTTAAGCAGTAATGATGAAAATAAGTATATACAATCGATGTTTAATTAATTTAAAATAATGCATGGAGCTAGATTAAAATTGGAACAAAGAAAATTATCGTAGAATGCTACTGGAAGTGAAAATGCAAATGTAAACTACAACGACAGTTGACAAGAAGTTTTGAAACAGATCCACCTATGCAGTTTACCATTTCTGTAAGTAGAAATAAATTTGAAGTGAATGGAAATGTTTAGAATGTTCGTAAGAAACATTCTGGAAGACCAGAGATATTAGCAAGGGTCGCAGGAAAAGTGTGAGCGAAACATACGGCCAGAAATGAAGGAAAGCTATGTTTCAGATAGATCATACGATACAAATTTAAGAATCAAGTATTCATCACAATTTGAAACACTGTTATGAAAAAAATTAAAAGTACTTTCTCTGAGTATTTGCATCCCCCTCAAAAAAGTCATGAACTCTTTGACAACTTTGAAGAGCATTCATGAATTCATTAGCGATTGATTTTTCGCCAAGCTTGTAGGATTTATATTTATTTTAACTAACATGTATTTTAAGTTTAAGCTATCTTTCCTGTCAAGCTTTTACTTTTCCCTGGAATTGCCAATGCCAGAGGATGTAAATTTTAGTAGAACGCGGAATTGCCAATGCCAGAGTATGTAAATTTTAGTAGAACGCGCAAAGTATTCAAATTTTCAGCGGAAGTAATTTTGAGTTAAATAGAAGGGAAACGAGTTTGTAGGTGTGCTTTCTTGATTCACGAGCGTGAAGGTTGCTAGGTAGAAATTTAAGAACCGCGCGTTTCGGCCTGTGTGCTTGCTTCGACAGTTAGTTGAATCTTTCAACTTTTTATTCAGAAAGTTTGCTGAAATCTCAGCTGTATCTGAGAACGCGGTTAAGTTAGTTACGTTTAGAGAGCCTCGTAGGTAGTGACTTGTTATTATTCATTTTTAGTTGTACTTTCTTATTTTTATTTAACCGCCGGGTCGGCGTAGTTTGTGAGCGTCAAGTGAACGCATCTGTAACTTCTAAAGTGGAATAAAAAGGGAGTTAAACCCTCCTTAAGAGTTTGTGTACTTTCCAGTTCATAGCAGTCACTACTATTGTTGCGGGCAAGTAGGGGCCACGCAACACCACAAGCTAATGTACGAAAGGCAAAAATTATATTTAAAAATGGTGGCACACTATGAATGCCATGTAAGAGCAATCAATCAATAAAATTGAAAAAGTGATAAACATGGGTAATGAAGCACTTACTATTTTTCAGAAATCCTTCTGTTTTTGCGCTGATGTTCTCCTCATGCACACATCGATCTATTTTCGCTTAAAAAATCGGAGAATTTCTCAAATTGACAGCGTATAACATCGGCATATTCTTTGCATGAACTGCGCATGTACCTGGGTTGCCGCATAAATAATTCTTGGCGACATAGTAGGTTCTCACATAACTATTTTGGCAACATACTGCTTTGCCTAGTTATATGTTTTCGCGACTTTTCGGTAAGAGGGGAAATGAACAAAAAGGGCCGTTATTTTCGTTTAACTATCATATGCGAGTTGTTTTACCTTATTACGTATATGAAAAAATATTTTTATACATTTTAGAGTTAGTATTTTAAGAGAAGACTTTTATATGACGTTGTGGCATAAATAGTTATGCCAATATTTCAGCAACATATGAAGGATACAATATAATCTTTCTTAAAAACCTTTTTTTAATGGAAGGATGTGTGAAAAGGAATACTTATTATTTTTTAGATCAGCTAATTTTATCAGGTATTTTGGAATATGAGGAATACATATAGATTCAATTTTGTTATGCTTTCCCGAAATAGGAATTGAAATTTCTGTTGCTGACCAGACTATCAGATCAATTAAAATTATCATGTACTATTCATAGAAATCACTGTTAAGTTTTATTATCAAAATAAATTCAGAATAGGAGACACAATGCCTTTTAGAAGGACTTATTGTATACCCTTAGTTTGTAATCACCTATGAATAAGAGTGATTAAAAATAAAGAAGGATCCAGATTTACTGTTTAAAATTATAGTTTTGCATAATTAGCCATTTTTGCAATTTCGTTCCTCAGCAGTCGCCAAACAGCTTATCTGTCTAACGTTTTATTTTCATTATCTAAATATGTAACAAATGTACTTATTAAAAAAATCTGAAAGGTTTCAGATTTTAAATTATGTCCAAAGGGACTTTTTTTAACGTCTTGTGTGTTACCTATGCATTTATTTATTAAATATCATATTCTTTGCACTTAAACCATAAAATTCAGTTCAACAGCAATGTCGCAAAATAATTTTAAAATGAGCATATCTTTTAAATTTCCGATACACAGTTCCGCGCACTGGAGATAAAAAGATTTTTTTCCGCCCGTAGAGTGTTGCCATTTCTCGCTTTTAAATCGTTCAGTTTGTTAATCAAAAATTTCTTATAAGTTTGCAAAATATGAAATCGATAATAAAACAAATTTCAAATTTCAAATTTGGGCTTCCAGATGCCCAAATTCGCAGCAGGATTATGTCATTCAAAACTGGATGGCTGTAGGGACCATTGTTGTATCACAATGCGAGAAGCATAAATACATTCATGCAGATTCTTCATTATTTAATTTCTTCAAATATAATACAGGGCAATAGTATTTGGTGGCAACGATTTGAAAAGTGATACGCCGTTTATAGGGTTCCGACGCAAAATCGCAAAATGAAAACAATAGTCTTTCAGGGACAAAGCCCCTTTGGTCTAATTATACATTTTATGACTGAAATATTCTGCTATAGTCCAGAAATAAAAAAAAAATATTTCAAAAGCTTATTGAATAAACCTTTTTTTAATTAATTTTTTTGATTTCTCTCTCTCTCTATATATATGTATATAAACATTATATCTTCATCTTTTAATGCTACTTTTACATATTTTGGAATATATTGGTAAGTAAAATTATATCATGATACATGAATTAAATAAATAATATAAATTCCATAAAAAAGAAATGTATTTAAATATTTCTATTACTAAAATGCATTTTCTTTAATTCTGTGCTTTTAAATATATTATATTGTTTTAATAATCTCTGTACTTTTCTTAATAGTTTGAGGAAAATATTCTAGAATGTTGCTTGTATCTTCTAACACATGTAGGACGTTTGGGTGTTGTGGCCCGATCGGACCCAATTCGTGTGGTTCGTCACATTTCTGCAGTGGTAAGTCTTTAAACTCATTTATTTTCAGCTGCATGTAATTTGAATGAATGTATATGATATATGCGTAAAATTAATTAATCGTTAAATTTTTAAATTTTTTAAATGCTTTTGTAATTAAATTCAGCATAAGAGACTTTAAATAGGACTATATTTAAAGCATATTTTGGAACAAACTTAAATTATTATTTTAATAATTTATATAAAAGTTTCCTGTTAAGTTATCATAGCATCTCAGTATTGTATTCTAGAACTTTACAGCGTTTTATTTTCAAACAATAACAAACAATCTTTGTAAAAAATACAGAAAATAATAAGTTTACTGACAATTTTTTGAAGTTATGACATGTAGAGGGAAGAAATTCATAAATGTTTCAGAAAGTCTGTATAGAAAATGAAAGTTTTGAAATAAATGTTGCTTATGTCTGAGTCTTTTACCATGTATTATTTTTATACTTGATTTTTGTAGCATAAAAATTAACTATAATATGATTTAAAATATTTAAGTTGTTTTATTAAATGAGTGCTTTCTGTACATAGTGTTGAAGAGGCTAAATATGAATTAAATAAAATAAACACATATGATGTAATTTTCTTTTAGTAAAGTACGTTTTTAGAGCATATATTTTATGAAATTTATTGCTACTGAACGGATGAATTTATTATACCATGTAAACACAAAAGGAAGAAAAGGAAGGATATGTTTTTATACTAGTTCTGTACACTTAGGGTTTTTTTTGTGATGCCGAATTAATTAATAAGAGCTAATGCATGATGACATTTTTGTTTCAGTGCAGCCTGTGGTTCAAGGATTTATTCAAAACCTTAATAATTATATTTAATTTGAATATAAAACATCTCACTTGAGTCCAAGCTGATAATTTTAGATTACATAATTCGGAAATAATATTGTATAATTTTGATTTTAATTAATTAATTAATTAATTTTTTTACCTGATTAAAAATGATTTTTTAGATTTTATGTAACAATTTTAGCTCAACTGTCGCGATGACAATGGAGTAATTGTTGGCAATTGGTCCGGAAAATACAAAGGGGGAAAACCACCAACCTGCTGGGGTGGAAGCCAAATGATTCTTCAGAAATACTACAAAAATAAGAAACCTATCAAGTATGGCCAGTGTTGGGTCTTTTCTGGTGTTTTTACGACAGGTACCTTTTAATATTGTTCATTAAATGATTAATGGGAACTTTATTTTTTGGAATTTTATCAAGCCATGAACCATGACACTACTATTGTACTTTTTCAGTATGCAGATCCCTTGGAATCCCATCTAGGCCAGTGACAAATTTTTCATCCGCGCATGATACTCATAACAGTCTCACCATTGACCGATTTTTTGATTGCCATGGAAAACCTTTGGAGAAAATGAATATTGATTCTGTATGGTAAGCTTCCCCCCTCATGATACAAGATATTTCTTAAGGAATGTGTTGTAATTAGACATTTAAATACAATGATTTTAAAACTTTACATACTTAAAACATTTGTAATATCCTTATCCCACTTAGCAAGCTTTCAAAATGAAGTAAATGTTGCTAAAATAAATTATCACACAAATGTTTTAATAAATTTTGCATTTGTTTAAAAACTCAATAGATAATTAGAAAAATAATAAATATATACATTTACTTGCTTAAAGCATACTAAGAAGTTTAAGCTTTGAAAACTTTTATCATGTTAAATAATAGCATATCATAATCTACCAAATTGTATGTTCAACTGTATTATCAACTGAGAGTAACTGTAGAAAATTCTCTTCCATGTAATTGTTGTTAAGTTAATATATTTTACTACTCAAATTAACATTTATCTAAAATGTTGACTGATTTTTAAATATTTTTACATGCTTTGAATTTCATAGTATTAATTAATCACTAGCTGTAGTAAAATTAAGATTGGTACATATTTATAAATTTCTTTGAAAATATTTCAAATGAATCCACAATCCCCAGTTATTGAGATGATAATTATGTAATCTATATCTCTCTATATATGTATACATTTTACTATAAATTCAAATATTTAATTTCATTAATTAGGAACTTCCATGTTTGGAATGAAGCTTGGATGCAACGTCCAGACCTAGAGCCTGGTAACTATGGTGGCTGGCAAGCAGTTGACTCTACTCCTCAGGAGGAATCTGACGGTAAAAAGAAATTTCAAAAATCATTTATACAAAATTGCAGATGAATGGCATTTGAAAAATTGAAACTTTTCTGAAATTCTTAATGTATTTAATTTCACGCAGGACTGTTTCGCTGTGGTCCAGCTAGTGTAGCTGCAATTAAAAGAGGTGAAGTAAAAAAAGCATTTGATACAACATTTCTTTTTGCTGAAGTTAATGCTGATAAAGTATATTGGAGGTACCATGGGCCAAACCAACCATTGAAACTTATCAAAAAGTCTACTGAAGAGTAAGATTCTTTTCATGTATAACTTTTGCACATTCAAAAAAAAAACCTGTGTTGTATATAAGGTTAAATGCTTATATTATTAAATACGTATAAAATCAAATGACGCTATTATTACCAAAACTAATTCAGAATGTCTATTTATATTAAAAATACTTGAAGGCCATTTTAAAGATCTCTCCCTCCCTAAAATCAACTTACAATATAAATCAAGGTACTTACGTATAACACAACTACATTAATAGAAGTCATTAAATTACAGTATAAATAAAGATACTTATGTATTACGCAACCACCTTAGTAGAAGTCGCAAAAATTTCAGAATGTGCGAAACTTGGCAACCATGCGCATAACATTCTTCCGGCAACCATGCGCATAACTATTCTTCCGGCAACCATGCTTATAATAGTGTGTACTGCATATTCACAAAGCCTACAGACCATTTCGCTACGGTCTGCTCTCATTGGATGAAACATCTGCTCGGCGGTCATATTTGGAAGGGCGAGTTATTGCCCTGTAGGCGTAGTAATTAACGCCAAACAAACGGAAACAGCGTTTATTTCATTTGATAATTTTTTACTTTATGAATGAAAGCTTAGAGGAATTGTGTGGAATATATTTTAAATAACCTACTAGTCTTATTAATAGTTTATTTGTATTTGAATTTAAACTTTTAAATGTACGTAATTGTTTTGCAAGAAAAAGGTGTTTACATGGAGATAGCATATGTACTTTTTCGTCATTTCTGTTAGAAAGAGTCTATTGTGTAAATTTCCATAGCGCATTAATTTATACAAATAAAGGAATATTAAAAAATAAACCAAATGAAAACATTCAGTAAACATTTAAGAGCGCCGGATACCTATTCTTTTTACCTGAATTATGAGTAAGTATAACTAAAATTATATTTTATTCCATTATGCGCTATTTCTATTGAAACGCTTTTCGGGATCTTGGATCGTAATCTTGCTACTGGTTCCTACTACAAAGAGTACAAACCAGTAAATAAAAATAAGAAAAATTAGCATTAACATAAATAGAGGTGTTTAATTTTTAACACCGCACCCAAATCCGAACAGACTAATAATGACAAAGTCATTCAATAAAATAAAAATAAAAATAAATCCGTGTAGAGCAGAGTTTGTAAAAGCTACGAGCGGGGATAGAACCGACAAGCTATGAATCCGAGAATTTACCGGATACCTATTCTTTTTACCTGAATTATGAGTAAGTATAACTAAAATTATATTTTATTCCATTATGCGCTATTTCTATTGAAACGCTTTTCGGGATCTTGGATCATAATCTTGCTACTGGTTTCTACTACAAAGAGTACAAACCAGTAAATAAAAATAAGAAAAATTAGCATTAACATAAATAGAGGTGTTTAATTTTTAACACCGCACCCAAATCCGAACAGACTAATAATGACAAAGTCATTCGATAAAATAAAAATAAAAATAAATCCGTGTAGAGCAGAGTTTGTAAAAGCTACGAGCGGGGATAGAACCGACGAGCTATGAATCCGAGAATTCCCCCCCCCACGCTCGTTACCGCTGAGCTGCGGTCTCTCTGGTGGGTTATGCACACATCTTGGTACGCAACGCTCATATACAAATTGTAAAGGCGGTGAAGCAAAAGTCGCCAAGTACTAGATTCTGTAACCCTACGTTTCCTGTTTTAACCAATCGGAGCAAACAGCAGAAGAAACGGTCTGTAGGCTTTGTGAATATGCGTGTGTACTTTAGCGGAAAAACAAAATTACAGAAAGAATGTATGTAGATGTTTTATTTTTAGCCTATTACGTAATTTTTATTTAATAATTCAAATTTGTATTTTAAATTGCTTAAGTATATTTTCTTTTCATATGTTTATAATGTTTACCGACTTACGATAAATATCAATATATTGGGAATCTTTCTAAAAGCGCGAAAATTATCACCAACTTGCATCCGATAAGTAACTTTTACCTTTTCACCTGTAAAAAATCACCAAATTGTGCCAAGGCGTGCCAAGGTAGTGCCAAGGTAATACGTAAGTGCCTAAATAAATAATTCTATAACAAAAAATCAGAAGAAAATTTTCATAAGACATAAAATTTTACAGTAGCATTAATTAGAGTTATTTATGAAATTAGTTGTAGTGCTATTCATTGGATAATTGATGAAGAACTGGCAGTATCCCACTATATAAAATTAGTTAAAATTTATAAGCTCACAACAAAATCTCTGATTATGCTGATAGCATTTAATAGATCAGTTACTCTTGTATGATTTATATGAGCAAATCTAAATGTTACTCTTAACAAAACTTTTAAGCTATTACACATTTTTATCATCCCTATGAACTAAATAATGTTTATTAAAATTATTATTTTAAGCTTCTTCCATCTGAATCTCAAAACCTGTGTTGTAATGCATTGTTATAAATAAGAAAATTTTTTTGTAAGAAATAACTTTTGTTTCTATCTTATACTTTTATGTACATTTTATTTATTTTCATACTTAAAATCCTCTTCATCCCACTGAAATATTAAAGCATGTTCTATTCTGGGCATACAGTTTTTCTGAAACAGTATTTCCGTATAACCATTATTTTAACTTTCTAATGATTATTAAACTTTCTGAAACACACACTATAAAAATATATCAGAGGAAAACTACCAGAAGTAAACTGTGTAAAAAAAAAAAGAAATAAATACATTAAATAATATAAGAAATATCAAAGAAAAAGGATCAAAATTGAATAAACCCTCAAATTCAATATGCTTTTAAAATACCTTTTTAGAGAATTGTGCAGTACTTTTGTATCATAAATTATAATTAGTGTAGTTACATACATTACAGTTAAAACTATATAATTGCGAGTTTAGTTACACAATAAACTGAAGCGATATCTCTCTGTACATTTCCAATCACTGCAACACATTTACTCTCTTGCTCTCTCTCTCTCTCTTTTTTTAACTCTTTGATATTAATACCCTCAATTGTTAATCATAACAAATTTTTACTTATGGCTTACTAAAGTAAATGGCCTTTATCTAATAATTGCTACTTTGTTATGGAAGAGCAAATGTAATTCTTTTCTTTACTATTTTATTTAGGATTGGCCAATGTATAAGCACTAAAGCAGTCGGAAAGTTTGAAAGAGAAGATATAACTCACGAATATAAACATTTAGAATGTAAGCAAATGTTCATTTTTAAATGTTTAATACACGTTTTTGTTTGATTCATTTTAATGGTGCAAGACATGTAAAATGTATTAGTTAATTTGCATGAGTTATTTTTATCACCTTTTTTGCTTCGTATACACTCTGTCACCACAAAACATATGCACCCAGACGAAATGGAGCCACAGTCACGAAACTCGGCAGGAATGTAGTCTGATAAGGAATATGCAAATGATTTAAATTTCGACGCCAATGAGACTAGGGTAAGCGCGTTATGCGCATAGGAGTTGCTTTAAAAGCATGATTGTTCGTGCCGTAGGGCTATTCAAACAAATATGTCGACTTGAATATGGACAGTATTTTGACTAAATATGCCTCTGACGTAACTGACGACAGTACGAACAGTTGTCGAACTTTGAGAGGAGGCGCATTGTAGGCCTCAGAGAAGCAGGTTGGTCGAACAGGCATATCGGTTGCCACCTCGGTTGCAACGATAGCGTAGTTGCTGGATGTTGGCGAATATGCATTACGAAAGGTATAGTCTACCGTCACGGAGGGTCAGGGCGTTCCAGGAACAGCGGCCACTTCCGCATTAAAAACGTCGCTAGCACCGATTTGATGACGTTTACCAAGTTCCAGGGCATCCGGTGGTATCAAGGGAAACCATTCGGAGACAACTGGCCGCCACTGGTTTATGCTGTCGATGTCCATTAATATGCCTACCACTGACCCCACATCAGTGTCGATTGGATGTTTCCCAAGCTCAGGAGTGTGACCGACTGGAGGCGTGTGATTTTCAGCGATGAATTTCGATTCAGTCTCAGTACTGATGACCAACTCACACGCGTACAGAGGCGGCCAGGCCAGCGGTTGGATCCGGGATTTGCTGTCGAGCGGCACACAGCAATTACATAAGGTGTGATAGTGTAGGGAGCGATTTGTTGGGACACACGATCACCTCCATTCGTCCTTCAAGGCATTACGACGGCTCGCAGTTACGTGGACGAAATTTTAACGCCGGTTGTACTGCCTATGCTATCAAGTGGCCCAGATGCCATATATCAGCAAGATAATGCTCGTGCACATACTGTGTGACTCTCTCATCAATATTTTCAAGGATATGACGTACTCCCTTGGCTTGCCAGGTCACCAGACCTCTCGCCAATAGAGCACGTTTAGGACATGCTTGGAAGGCAACTGCAGCCGTCTCGGAATATTGGTAATTTAACTGCCCAGTTGTAAATATTACAGCGTGATCTTCTGCAAAAGGTCATAGGTGATCTACTTGATTCGATGCCACGCCGTGTTTCGGCTTGTATAGTAGCGAGAGGTTGCTATACTACTTACTGATTTGTAACCTTTTTCATGCCTAAGTTCTTAATAAAACAATCTTTTGTTCTGAATTTGTAATCATTTGTTTATCTCCCCATAAAATATATCCTTGTTAAGTTTCTTTATATTAGTAATTTCCTTCTGGGAGCATATATTTTTTGTGATAGAGTGTATTTGAATCAAGCTTCATTATTATGAAAATTACATCATCCACTTCCACTTAGTAATGAATAAGTTATAGAGAAAATACAATTTCATGAATTTTTTTAGAGTATAAAATTGTATTTGTACTTTTAGGCTCAAAAGAAGAACGTGAAGTAATGCTGAGAGCATTAAGACAGTGTAAAGATGCATTTTCAAGATATTATCTGAATGATGATTTGGAAGATGTTAAATTCGAATTTACGCTTTTAGATGATATTGTAATTGGAGAATCATTTACTGTAAGTTTTAATAATATTTGACGGAGATTTAATGTAGAATATGTTTAATGTTTTTGCTAAATTTCTGTGAAATATTTTCATGGAGGTATTGAATGTACAATCATATTTAAAGAAAAAATATGGAAATTAATTTACAGAAAGGCAGTTACTTGGGTCAAAATGAGAAATATTGTTGGATATATGTTTCCAGAGTTAGTTACAACATTGAAGAATCTGGAAACATTTAAATTTGTCAGTTGTGTTTTAACCGAAATCTTTCTTATGATTTAAAATCTAATCATGGAGCATATATCATTGAGTTACCTTTGTTTCTTTAATTCTTTTACATCCTCACTGTTAATGTATCATACTGTTTTAGAAACTAAACTGAAGTGAATTTGTTAACCAGTTTTTTTTTTTAGAAATTCATTTGTTAATATTACGCTAATATAAATCAGGCAAATTAAATACTATATACTCTGAGGTTTTAAAATATAAATAAAAATAACTGGATAACGTTAATAATTTGATTTACTATCGCTTGATTTAAAATTTTGATTAAATGCTGTTGTGCTTTACGGGTTCGTGGATTTCGAGTAATTGATGATAACACTTGATAAGGAATCAAAATACAATTTATTCGCCCAGTATTACACAGGTGAGTTCTAAAGACACGTTTACAGAAAAACTACTGAAACACTGAGCAACACAGCCTTCATGCTACAACGGTAAAGACAGCTTTTTGCAAGCCACTTAAAGAATCGCTCCTGACTTGGTTCAGTCGCACTCAAGCTAATCTTTGAACCCATACTAATTCAATTAAACACACTACTTTTTCCCCGTACAGGCAATGTATATATAGCTTTATTTTGCCTCCGAAAACATTCTAAATTGTTCTTGCTCTGTCCGTGGCATGTCGCCAATTTTGTCACCAAATGTACGATTTTGGCCAAATCTGGCAACCCTGTCCCTCTCTTCCACTTTCTGGCAACCCTAATTCTGCTTTGCTGGGAAGCTTTCTTACCGCAGTTGGGCATTTCACATTAATATGCATAATAGTAAACTAATTCTAAAATTCATATTTATTTATACATGATATATATATTTATTGTGAAAGGAGTAGTAGAATTTATGTGAACACTCCCTGAAGTTTACTCAAAAGAAAAATACTAAATTACATTAAATGGAAAGTAATTTATAGTTTTAGCACTGTGTTATAACTTACAGTGATATTGGCAATGCAAATTACTGTTAAATATTTTAATTTCTGTGTGTGATTGAATTTTCTTACTTGTAGGTTAAATTGAAAGCAATAAACAAACGAGAAGAAGGAGAAGAATATACAGTGAATGTATCTCTTCATGTACATTCTGCACTTTACACTGGCCAGCCTAAAAAACTTATTAAAAGGGATGAATTTGAAATTCAGTTAGGACCTGGTGTTGGTACGATGTTTATCTATGTATATATATATTTAACTTAAGTTCTGTTGTACATACAATTATAAATATTGGTTGAATGAATTAGGTTGAATATTAATAAACTTGCAATAATTTTATGTAAAATATTAGATCATCCCATAAATGATGCTGTTTTTTCATTTGTATGAAAAGTTAGATAGAGATGGGATAATCTCTCTGTATCAACTTGCTTATAATAGCAGGTAAGAATTTTAGTACTTACATTTTAACACAACCACCTTAGTAGAAGCCGCCAAATTTTCAGAATGTGCCAAACTGTGGCAACTATGCACGTAACCATTCTTAAGTAACCATGCTGATTACAGTCCTTCAATTAAGTAATGTCGCTAATTTTCGTATGCGTTCTTTTTGTTGTATTCCAAATTACAAAGGTTTTGGCAAACCGTTAAATTTTTGTCTTAAATTAAATTTTGACAGCAGTGGATGGAACTGTGTTTAACATTTCTGCAAGAATATAGCATTTTGAAATAAAATCGCTAAAGGGAATAATGATTAGATGAATATGGTAGATAGATGGAGCACAATGCATAGTTTATGCAACTCTCTGATGTTTTATTAAGGAAAAACAAATCGATATGTACACAGGAAAACAGCACAAAAAATTGCAGAAGGTTTTCACGAAAAATGTGTTTTATTTTTTTATGCATCATGTAATCCTTATTGAATAATTAAAATTTGTATTTTAAATTGCTAAAGAGGGGTTTGCGATAAATATTGATAATTCAGCAGTGTTTTTTAAGCAAATTCACAAAAATGGCCATCTTGCACCTCATAAGTAATTTTTACCGTTTTATCACGTGATTACTCTAATGCGTAAGTAGCATAATTTTACCTGATTCTTATTCTTAGTGCAGGTTTTGAAAAGTGATGTTCAATTTTAACAGTTATTTTTTCAGAGCTATACTGAAAGAGATAAAGGAGAAAATTTGGCATATTTTACTTTTTAAGTTGAATTGAATATTTAGTAATAAGCAATATTAATGCAATATATATGGGTATAGCACAATAAGCATAAACCAGTGTCAGTGGTCGTTCCAGAAATTACAAGCCAGAAACTGCGACCAGGGACATGAGTTTTGTCTTGGAAGACTTGTATAAGCTTCACAGAGACATCCTGTAAACCCTGATGAAATAAAATCTCATCGTAGCTGTTGAGAAATAGCAGAAGATGATGGAGACTGCAAGCACAAAAACCGCATTATTGAATTGGATGACTCAATAGCTTGGAATAAATTGAGACACAGTACCAACTTTAAAATACCAACTTTAATCAAAAGTTCAAAATAAACGTGTTTTACAGTTGAATAAATTCATTGTAGATTTGTTAAATACTTCGTTTTAAGAGCTTTTGATTAATACAGTCAAAAGTCGTTAATTCGGACGCCCATAATCCGGAATGATCTATAATCCGGACCTCAAAGCTACAAACTTTCTGCGCATGCTTCGCGTTCACGCATGCGCACAGGCGCTTACGAGAGCGCGTAAGCCCTTAGTTGCGAATATTTTGTGCGCATGCGCGTTTAATGTTTTTAACGAGTTATACGCTAAGCTAAAGTTACTAATTCAATTAATGTTGCAGATCGTTGTTCCCTGATCTTCGAATGGATCCGGCTATTATTTTTGCAGACTGTAGAGCATTTATAAAAGTAGCTTGAACTTTCGATTATGTCAAATAGAATTTCCGATATATATTTACTACAAAGCGGAAGTATGTTTTTAAATCCGAAATCGTTATCAATTTCCGCTGCTCTGCGGCAGAGGTGGGGGCCACGTCTTATTAGATTATGATAATTAAAAGATTATGTCAAAGAATTCCATATATATTACAAGTAATTTGTATCTACAGCGCAGTAGTTTTGAAATCGAAATGTTTTATGAATTTCACCCGGGATTGGAGTATCTGTCAACACTATCCTTATCTTCAGATTAGATGTTTTTATTTATTGGATTATAATTCCGTACTAAGTTAGCATTTCGTCTCCGATGTACTCAGTCTTTGATATGATTTAAATCAAGTTCCTCTCTTATAATTCGCTTCCGATAGTGAAGATTGACCCGAGGTTATGAACGAACATTTCGATTGACAATTATTCGTATTTCACCGCATTAAGGACTGACAGCGGAACTTGTACTAAACAAGAAATATGTCTGTTTAATCTAATAAGAAAGTATTCTCACATAAACGAAGCAACTACATTGAATGAAATGTTAATAAGTAAAAATAAATATTAAGCTTTTCTTTTGTAAATTTTGATACCGTTAGATCATAATTGTCTTTATTCATAATACGTTCATATTTTAATTTGTAATTTTTGCATGCCTCTTACCAGATTAAACTGATGATCGAACCCGGAAAATCGAAATCGGATCGCCAAGTCCCGACGAGTCCGGATTAACGACTTTTGACTGTACTAAGCACTGATAATATATACTGATTATATACTGATGATTATTATTTCTACTTTAGAAGTTTTCAAGAGCAGTATTGGAAGACATATACTTAAAAATCTTTAATTAAAAATTTAAAAAAAAAAGGGCACTATCGTATTATCCACCGAACCCTGACAAGAATCACCAGGCAAAGCGCTGTGTCGCCGAAGTAGGTAGCCCAGAACTTAGCAAAAAAAAAGTCTTTTTATCTGACAACCCTTTAATGCGCGCTGTTTTGGAATTCGAGAGTAATGTTTGTGGTTTTCTGCTTGTGGAATTTTTTTTTTTTTTCTTTTTTTCTATGTAACGAACCGTAATGTAACCATGGAGTTTGCCTACTGATGAAAAGAAAATGTAGCATTTTTTGAGAAATATTACATTTTGCCTAGTAATAGAAAGTATAGGAATGCGCATCCCATGAAGTTGTATTTTACAAACGATCGAATTGTTCGAGTTATCTTGGGAATCAGTTTAAAGAAAATGTCAACAACGAAAGCAAAAATTGAGATTTTTCAACCAGACAGCTAAACAAGATCTACCGGCTGTAGAAATATAAATGCTGCGCGAACTGATTTTTATTACTATTATTAGAAATGAAATGCATATAAATGACGCATTTGGCTAATTTTTATCTATTCCTGGTGTTACATTATTACAGAAATTTTGCAGCTCGAAAGTAATTTATGAATTATTGTTAGGGGATCGTGATAAGAGTTTTCTTCGAATTAGTGCAATTCACTGATGTTTCTTTTAAGTTTAAAACCAGACAGTGTGTTACATTGGAAAGTAGTGCCAAGTTGCTTTGCGATGCCGAGAATTGTTAAATTCTCTTACGTTTTAATTTAAAACACATCGCTATGCATATGGGCAGAGAAAAGCTAAGTGCTGTGTTGTGCATGTTTGATGCATTTTTCATTTAGGTAATTTATTGCTGTTTTATATAATTTTCGGTGTTTGGTTACGGTTGTTGTTTTATGTAATTTTCAGTGCGCCGCCATTTTTTGAAATCGATTCTGTTTTT